TAAATACTTGTATTGATCCAGAGAAAATAAATAGCATCAGATAATTAATAGAAGGATCAGTACACGAAATCTTAAGTAATGGTATAATGTCACAGTAAAAGTGATGTACTATGATAGAATTGCAGAAAGTTAATCTAAATAAAAAAGAAGCATGAATTATGGCATGAAGAAGGCCACCTAAAAATGACAAAACTATGAGCTGGATGCACAGCATATGGGACATAATCACTGGATAAAGTAACGGTTTGCATATGGCCACATACCGATCATATGCCATTGTTGCCAGCAGAAAACATTCTGTGGTTGCACTGATTGCAAAGGAGAAAAATTGTATCATGCATTCAGAGAGAGAGATCATCTTGCTCTCAGAAAAGAAGTTGGCCAGCATCTTGGGGGATATTGTGGATGATAACCAAGCATCCACAAATGCCAGATTCCCAAGAAATAAGTACATGGGGATGTGAAGGTGAGGGTCATTGCAGATGAGGGCAATCAGACCAAGGTTCCCCACAATGGTGATGAGATATATAACCAAGAACATCAGGAACAAGGGAATCTGCCACTCTGGTTGATATGTGAGTCCTGTGAGAAAAAACTCTTCCAGCTCTGTTGCATTTTTAGTTTCCATATTCTTAACAGATGGTCTCTGAAATTAAATGTGTAAACGAAAAAGAATATTCATTAATGATTTATAAAAGACAGTTCGGTGAGGTTAATTGATATAAAACCATACACTAGCCTGAAGGCACTTCAATTTTATTTCCTCTAATATGGCAACTATTGGGGGGGGGGAATCATTATATTGCAAAAATACAATTACTTAAGTTCAAACTATGTGCAAAATAAACAGATTTAGAAGATAAGAAAAACATTCTGAACATGAGCAAGTTCTGTGTATAGGACATTAATACAGCATGAAAAGTAAAAATGTTAGAAAGGCCAGGATCATCAAGTGATCAGTTCCCTGTGAAACATCTTCAGCTGTGTCCTTCAAACAACACATGGAACTGAACAAACACATGGGACTGAAAACTTTTATGAAAGGGAGTGTCATCCTCAGATGTTTATTAAATTAAATATTTGCTTGTAGAAAATAGGCTGAAGGGAGGGGAAACTAGAGGAAAAAACACTAAACAGGAAGCCAATATTATTGGCCAACAATTCCCAAACCAAATTATACAAGAAAATTGGCTAAGACAGATTTTGTACAAAATATAGGTTTTGAGATATTACTATACAAATTGATTCAGAGTTCATGAATTGGTTGGAGTAATATGCATTTTATAAAAGCTCCCTGGTTGATTGAATAGCATGTGCGGTTCTTGGTCTATGTGCAATATGACACTGGGAGTAAAGAGGGGACAAAGAGGTAGCTCAAAGTAAATCACAATGTACAGTCACTAGGACTCAGTGACATATTAGATGTGAAGGGAGTTGGTCAGTGTAGGAAAAAGAAGACACTTGGCGCTTAGGTAGATGGTCATCAAGCATTAAGACTGAGGACTCGGGTATGGTGGGCAGTTTTTTCAAGGAGCATTCTGAAAACATCCAGGTAAAATGCACTCAGCAGAATAGTTCTTTTTTTTTTTTTTTTTCAAAGATTTATTTATTTATTTGACAGACAGAGATCACGAGTAGGCAGAGAGGCAGGCACAGAGAGTGGGGGAAGCAGACTCCCTGCTGAGCAGAGAGCCCGATATGGGGCTTGATCCCAGGACCCTGGGATCATGACCCGAGCCGAAGGCAGAGGCTTTAACCCACTGAGCCACCCAGGCGCCCCACAGCAGAATAGTTCTATAGGAGCTTAATAGAAATGATGACTTCGGAGTCATTAGAGTGACTAAAGGCATAGTTTTGTATGACCTATCCATTGAAATGTATAAGGTAAAAGAGAAGGAGGAAAAAGAAACTTGTGGAAGTTAGAGATTACAAAATGGATATACAGCATGTATGCATTGGCTAACATAACATTTGATCCTCTATTCTACCATATGACTCTTGGTGGCAAACAGAAGCTGTCACTAAGGCCAGAAGCCAAAAGTTCTGTAAACTGACTTTTCCATCATAGAGGACTTGCTGTAGGTTTGCCAGTAAAAGTCACCTATGCTGGATTTGGTAAATGGAGAGAAGGGGACAAACGGCCAGGGGGAAAAAGGGGAATTTGGGTTGCAAAGTCAACCAAGGAAACAATATCGTGACCCTAGAAAATGTATCCTACACCTCAATGGTGTAGACATATCAAAGGAAGCTGTCGCGTCTGCATCTCGTAGCAAGGACAGCAGCTCTTAGCGAGCTAGATAGACTAGGACAGATTTTGGCTGTTTCACAGGCTTTCTTGCATTGTGTTCCTGCCCATTTCTCCAGTGGGTTTCTCCAATCCCCTAACATTTTGACATTAAAGCCAATTTCCTTTCAATTAGCCCATTTCCTTTGACAACCAAGAACTCTGGCTTACACAAAGTGAGAAAAGGAAAAAAAACAGAAAAGGACACTGAGCAGAGTGGCCAGAGATGCATGAAGGAATTGGGAATTGGAAAGCTGAGTGTTGCAGAATTAAAGGGAGAAAAAAAAACCTCAACCTGGACAAAGTGAAGTACAGTGCCAAAAGTGAAATAAGTGCTCTAGTGGAATAGGAGAGCTCTATGATCATTAAGTCTGGGAATTAATAGATTCCTGGTGGCTTTTGTGAGAGCAACGTCCAGTTTCTGATAGAGTTGAGGTCAGAGAGCAATGAGAGGAGAATAGGAAACATGGGGCACAACAGTGAGGAGAATGAAATACCGTGTGCTGAGGAATGTGGGGTGGAGATGGCAATCAGCTACTGTCCACTGAGTATCCATGGTGTTTTCATAGGTGGATAGGGATAGGAAAGGCCAGGGCATGAAGAGAGAGAAAGAGGAAGTATCAGAGAAAGGCTGAAGATGAAACTGGGGGAAAAGCTCAGACACTCCAGGTAAATATTTGTCTTAACTGTGGTTTTCATTAAAACTTGTCAGTACTGGGTATGATTTTTTTTTCATTCCAAATTCCTACTTTATTTTTCTATGGAAAATGTGTATGAAATAGAGATTTTCATTTTAATATTAGGCTAGAAACTTTGTATTCGTCATAAATATACCAACATTGCTAAAAGCACATTCCACATTTAAAAGTCACTTTATTTTGCTGTCACAGTAATTAGAACTGAGTTTCTCTAACTACTCTCATTTGATTTGAGAGCCCTTTCCTCTCCACTAGGTTTTAGCAGAATAAAATTGAGCTGAAGCCTGGAACCTACTGCTAGCAATATAAATGACCTATGCCAATAATTGCAATTGGTAAATGCATATTTATTTGGAATTGGTTTCCTTCCATGCAATCCCAAACTATGAGATAACTTAAAATTCTCAAGTGCAATCTGTGGGCTTTTATTAAGTCAGAAAGTAGAGAGGACCTAGAGGGACATTTTCTGCATTTTCATATATGTATATGAAATTATTGTCAGAAGTGGGTGAAAGGATACAAGGATACACAGGTGAATAGCTAAGTGATTTAACTTAAAAGATTAGTCAGAGAATGTGGTTAATTAAGTGGAATAAACATTTTGAACAGAATCATCAGAGAGATTTCTTACATAGGAAACAGTATGACCTAAATCCTTAAACCCATTTTTAAGCTGTCTGAGCTTCTAGTAACAAAATTCATCCTAGGGAGTCATTGTCATTTTGCTAGCCAGATAATTAAGTATGATTAAAGATTACAGTCAGTCTTAGAGCTATTTTGCTTATCCAGACTTACTCACAATAACAAAATATTATTAGATTATTCATTATTTGTATTCTTTTCTTTTTCATTTCAACTTTTTATTTAAATTCTAGGTAGTTAAAGTATAGTATAATACTAGTTGTTTTCCATTTTCCACCTGCTATTCAGTCATCTTATAAACCAAATCAAAATTATTTCTAAATGTAACAGCATTTTTAACTTTCTATAAAAAATGCGGAGTATTGGGGCACCTGGGTGGCTCAGTGGTTAAAGCCTCTGCCTTCGGCTCAGGTCATGATCTCAGGGTCCTGGGATCGAGTCCCGCTTCGGGCTCTCTGCTCAGCAGGGAGCCTGCCTCCTCCTCCTGTCTCTCTCTGCCTGCCTCTCTGCCTACTTGTGATCTGTCTGTCAAATAAGATAAATAAATAAATAAATCTGTAAAAAAAAATTTAAAAAATGCAGAGTATTACATAAATCAATCCCTTACCAATATCTGTTAAGACATTGTGGAAATCCTTTCAGGGTTAGGCTTTCTCAAGTAGAAAAAAAAATAAGAGTTGCACCAGAATTACAGTAGCACCAGCAGCAATTCTTTGCACACCAATTCATTCTGGAGGCTTCATTTACCAAAATCAGCAAAATGTTGTTTATATAAATCTTCTTTGAACGCAAGAGTCACCAAGTTGTACAACTGTGTGCTTTTACCAGAAGAGGAAGGTGTGAAGAATTCCTAATGGTTCCCTTTAGGACAAAACCAAGCTGTTCTTCTGGGCATTGCAGATTAGAATCTGTATGAAAAGTCCACATGTCCCACTGGGCATTACAGCCTGCAAAATCATAATTATGTCATGTATACAGTTCTAGTTGTAACAGTTTAATTTGCACACTATATCATTACTTTCCACCACAAATGACATTTCTGGCATGTTATGCAAATCAATTTAATTATAAAATAGGTGTTCTGAGTGCTTTGATGAATATGTTCTTGTCTGAGCTAAGCATACATAATTTATTGAGGCCAGAATTCTAGGTTCCCTTCAGGAGCCAAGGAAACTTGTCCCCAAGGAAAGTTGTCCTCAGGCAAACTGTAGCTCACAGTCCAGATCTAGACCAGACTCCACACTTTAAGCTGAAATCTGATGAAAAATCTTACTAGGCAAAGGTCAGGGGAAGTGCAAAGGGAAACAAAGATAAAGTACCACAGTTGAGAGGTACCCTAGCTCAGTGCTTCTCAAACTTTAATGCCTGTGAATCTCCTAGAGAGAGAGCTTGTTAAAATGCAGATTCTGTGTGAGTAGGTCTGGGTGAGGCCTGAAGGTCTTCATTTCTAACATGGTGATTGCTACCTCTGGACTTGTGTCATCCACAAGGCTTTTGTCCTTGTAGGGCCTAGATTTTCAGAGGGCCCATATCATGGGAGAGGAACTGCATTGTAAATGTAGCTGGCATGTTAGGAAAGTAGCAGACAAGAGCCAGTTTGGGATCCAGGAGGCTAGTGTATATGGATCACAAGGGACTTTGGAGGATGGGTTAGGGGCTTTATTTTTTACCCTAATATAATGGAAAACTATTGAGGGATTTAAAAGTTGGTTCAGATTTGTTTCTTGTTCATTAACAGAGAAAGTTACTAATGAACATTTATTCAGAAAAATAAAACTTAATTTACCTGTTTATGATGATTTGATATCTTAAAAAAATTAACATCCAGTTTCATCATGGCTAGCAACATAGGCAAGGAAAAGAGATGTATTTTTTGATAGATTTCTTAATCCATTTTCCTGGATTTCCAATATTCTTTAGAATGTTAACAGTGAAGGGCACCTGGGTGGCTCAGTGGGTTAAGCCTCTGCCTTTGTCTCAGGTCATGATCTCTGGGTCCTGGGATGGAGACTTGCATTAGGCTCTCTGCACAGTGGGGAGCCTGCTTCCTCCTCTCTCTCTCTGCCTGCCTCTCTACCTACTTGTGATCTCTGTCAAATAAATAAATAAAATCTTTTTTAAAAAATGTTATTAGTGAAAGAGGAAGTGAAGAAAAAATAACATAGATAAAAGGAGTCACTGTGAATATTCTGCAAAATGGTTGAGTGTTTAAGCAGCATGATGTGCAGAGGTAGATTTTTTTTTAAGATTTTATTTATTTATTTGTGAATCTGTACTCAGCTGGCCAGAGCTCCATTCCAAGACCCTGACATCATGACCTGAGCTGAAATTAAGAGTTGGAGGCTTAACTGACTGAGCCATCGAAGTGCCCCCAGAGGTACCTTTTACCATAACCAAAGCTTGGCTGAAATTTCCTGCTGCCTTAAATTTTGTGTCCTCATCTTCTAACTCATTTTGTTGCCTTTCTATGAGTACAAAATGTCTGTATTGCTGCTTTTGGTATTGATTGTCTTTTCAGTTTCAGCTATTTTCATAGGTAGTTTGTGGTGTTTCACTGTAGTTTTAATTTGCACTTTCCTGATGCAAATTCCTTAACTATGGTTAGCATTATTTTGTGCCCTAATTTGACTTCTGTATGCCATCTGCAGTGAAGAGTCTATTCAAATCTTTTGCCAATTTTTAATTGGATTATTTATCAGCTTTTTTCTTGAGTTTTGAATAGTACTCCATATATCTGAATATGAATCTATAATTTGTCAGCTAAATAATTTATGCATATTTTCTGACTCTGTTTTGTCATTTTATTTTAGAAATATTTTTTGAATAGTAAGTATTTTAATGAAATTAATTATCATTTTTTTTATTCTGTGGATGGTGCTTTTGGTGTTGTATTTCTTTTATTATATATTTATGTCTGTTATCCTTTTTGTGTATTTTTTTTAAAGATTTTATTTATTTATTTGACAGAGAGAGATCACAAGTAGGCAGAGAGGCAGGCAGAGAGAGAGAGAGGAGGAACAGGCTCCCTGCTGAGCAGAGAGCCCAATGCGGGACTCAATCCCAGGACCCTGAGATCATGACCTGAGCCGAAGGCAGAGGCTTAACCCACTGAGCCACCCAGGTGCCCCCCTTTTTGTGTATTCTCTGGATCAAATTTCCTTTTTTGCATATAGATACCCAATTTGTTTCTACATAATTTGTTGAAAAAAAAATATCTTTTTCTCTGCCAAATTATTTTTGCACCTTTGTAAAATCAGCTGTCTATATATTTTTTAATTCTGGGCTTTATTCTGTTTCACTGATCGATTTGTCTATGTTTACAACAATATGACACTGTCTTGATACTGAAGTTCTATATGAAGTCTTAGAATCAGGTATTGTTAATACTCTAACTTTGTTCTTTTTCAAGGTTGTCTTGACTATTATTATATATCTTTTGCATTTCCATGTGAGTAATAGAATCAGCTTTATCAGTTCTATAAGAAAACTTCCTGTGATTTTTACTGGGTTTTTATTATATCTGTGAATGCATTTAGGGAGAATTGACATTTTTTTCAATATTGAATCTTCCAACCCATCTTTCCATTTATTTAGGTATTCTTCAATTTCTTTCAGAAAAGCTTTTTTTTTTCTTTTTTGGGTAGAGATTTTGCACATTATTTGTCATATTTACAACAGCTTTCATATGCCTTTAAGTGCACAGTGTCCATGCATACATATATCCACATGTTTGCGATAGGAAAATTTGCAGTATACATAGTTTTATAAACTGTTATTCATGCTTAATACAAAGAGAGTGAAAGCTCTAGAGAAAGGAGTTTAAGTCCTGCCTCCTTTACCTCCTGCACTTCCTCTTTTTCTTCTCTTAGGAAATTCATTTATTAAAATAAAAGGACAAAGACTCCACCAAAAAGGAGAATTAGACAAATATCCCTGATGAACATGGATATAAAAATTCTCAACAAAATACTAGCCAAGAGGATCCAAGAGTACATTAAAAGGATTATTCACCACGACCAAGTGGGATTTATTCCTGGGCTGCAAGGTTGGTTCAACATCCACAAATCAATCAATGTGATACAATACATTAATAAAAGAAAGAACAAGAATCATATGATACTCTCAATAGATGCTGAAAAAGCATTTGACAAAGTACAACATCCCCTCCTGATCAAAACTCTGCAAAGTGCAGGGATAGGGGGTACATACCTCAAAATCATAAAAGCCATCTATGAAAAACCCACAGAGAATACAATTCTCAAAGGGGAAAAGCTGAGAGCTGAAAAGCTCTCAGCTTTTCCCCTAGGGTCAGGAACATGGCAGAGCTGTCCACTATCTCCACTGCTATTCAACACAGTACTAGAAGTCCTAGCTTCAGCAATCAGACTACAAAAAGAAATAAAAGGCATCCGAGTCGGCAAAGAAGAAGTCAAACTCTCACTCTGCAGATGATATGATACTTTATGTGGAAAACCCAAAAGACTCTACTCCAAATCTGCTAGAACTCATACAAGAACTCAGTAAAGTGACAGGATATAAAATCAATGCACAGAAATCAGTTGCATTTCTATACACCAACAACAAGACAGAAGAAAGAAATTAAGGAGATGGTTTCTTCTTTTATCTATCTATCTATCTATCTATCTATTTATTTATTTGACAGAGAGAGACACAGTGAGAGAGGGAATATAAGCAGGGGGAGTGGGAGAGGGAGAAGCACGCTTCCCATTGAGCAGGGAGCCCAATATGGGGCTTGATCCCAGGACGCTGGGATCATGACCTGAGCTGAAGGCAGAGGCTTAACCCACTGAGCCACCCAGGCGCCACAGGAGATGGTTTCTTCTTAAATAAGCTTTGGTAGTTTGTATGTTTTCAGAGAATTTGTTCATTTCATCTAGTTGACAAAATTTTTATACATAAAACTATTCAAACTATGTATTTCATGTCCTTTAAACATTTATAATGTCTCTAATGATGTACCTTCTTTCTCTACAGATATTTGCATTTTCAGTCACTTAGAGACTTAAATATTTTCTTTTCTTGACCAGTTTGGTTAAAAGCTTATAAATTTTATTGGTCTTTTCAAGGAACAAGGTTTTTCATTTGATTGATTTTTGTTATTTTTCTATCAATTTAATTGATTTCTGCTCTTAATTTATAAATTTATTTTTGTTTGCTTTGGATTCAATTTGTTCATTTTATAGTGTCAATGTAGAAACATTGAGCATTAATTCAATCCTTTTTTAAATTTAAATTGAATTGACCAACACATAGTATATCATTGGTTTCAGAGGTAGAGTTTAGTTATTCATTAGTTGCATATAACACCCGGTGCTCATCACATCACTCCTTTTTCTTTTTTAAGAAACATTAATGATATAACTTTCTCTATAAGGACCATTTTAGCTATATCCCACACATTTAAATATTTGTATTTTCATTTTCATTGTATTTAAAATATATTATTCTTCACTTGTTACTGTCGCTTTGATCCATGGATATTTAGCAGGCTCTTTTTTTTTTTTTAAGATTTTATTTTTAACTAGTCTCTATACCCAACGTGGGGCTTGAACTTACAACCCCAAGAATAAGAGTTGCATACCACCAACTGAGCAAGCCAGGCACTCCTAGAAGGATGGTTTTTAATTGCTAAATATATAAAAATTAATGGATATCTTTGTCTTACTGATTTCAAGTTAAATTCTGTTATGTTTTATATTTTGCATTAATTTCATTATTTTAAATATTACCCAGAATAGGGTGTATTTTAGTGAACATTCAGTGTGCACATAAAAATACTGTATATTTTGCTGCTGCTTAATGGAATATTCTATAAATATCATTATATTACTTAATAGTATTTCTCAGGTCTTCTCTACTCTTACTAATGTCCCCTCAACTTGTTTTATCAATTACTAAAAAGGAGTACTACAGTCTTATTCTATAATTGTGAATTTGTATATATCTCCTTTCCGTTCTATCATTTTTTTTGATGCTCCATTGTTCAGTGCTTACGTATTTAGTATTATTTTGTTTTCTTGATGAATTGAACCCTGTATAATTTTTCAATGTCTCTCTTTATCACTGGTAATATTTCTTTTTTTATTATTTTATTTTTTCAGTGTTCCAAGATTCATTGTTTATGCACCACACCCAGTGCTCCATGCAATATGTGCCCTCCTTAATACACATCACCAGGCTCACCCATCCCCCACTCCCCCTCCTTTCCAGAACTCTCAATTTGTTTCTCAGAGTCTACAGTCTCTCATGGTTCATCTGTCCCTCCAATTTCCCCCAGTTCACTTTTCCTTTCCTTCTACTAATGTCTTCCATATTATTCCTTATGCTCCACAAGTAAGTGAAACCATATAATTAATTTTCACAGTTTGACTTAATTCACTCAGCATAATCTCCTTCAGACCCATCCATGTTGATACAAAAGTTGGGTATTCATCCTTTCTGATGGAGGTATAATATTCTGTTGTATATATGAGCCATATCTTCTTTATCCATTTGTCTGTTGAAGGGCATTCTGGCTCTTTCCACAGTTTGGTGATTGTGGCAATTGCTGCTATGAACACTGGAGTACCTGTGGCCCCTCTTTTCCCTGCATCTGTATGCCCACTCTTGTCACTGTTGTTCAACATAGTACTAAAAGTCCTAGCAACAGCAATCAGACAACAAAGAGAAATAAAAGGTATTCAAATCAGCAAAGAAGAAGTCAAGCTCTCTCTCTTCACAGATGACATGATACTTTATATGGAAACCCCTAAAGATTCCAGCCCAAACTACTAGAACTCATACAGTAATTCAGTAATGTGGCAGGATACAAAATCAAAATACAGAAATCAGTTGCTTTCTTATACACTAACAATGAAAATATGAAAATGAATAAATAAAATGAAAGGGAAATTAGAGAATCGATTCCATTTACTATAGCACCAAGAACCATAAGATACCTGGGAAGAAACCTAACCAAAGAGGTAAAGGTTTTGTACTCAAGGAACTACAGAACACTCATGAAAGAAATTGAAGAAGACACAAAAAGATGGAAAAGCATTCCATGCTCATGGATCAGAAGAATAAACATTGTTAAAACGTCTTATACTGCCTAGAGCAATCTACACTTTCAATGCCATTCTGACCAAAATTCCACCAGCATTTTTTAAAGATCTGGAACAAACAATCCTAAATTTTTTATAGAACCAGAAAAGACCCCAAATTGCTAAAGAAATTTTGAAAAAGAGAAACAAAACTGGGGGTATCATGTTGCCTAATTTCAAGCTTTACTACAGAGCTGTGATCACCAAGATAGCGTGGTACAAAAACAGACACATAGACCAGTGGAACAGAGTAGAGAGTTCAGATATGGACCTACAATTCTATGGTCAACTAATCTTCAACAAAGCAGGAAAAAAATATTCAATGGAAAAGAGACAATCTTTTTAATAAATGGTGTTGGGAAAATTGGACAACTATGTATGCAAGAACAAAACCTGACCATTCTCTTACACCATACACAAAGATAGACTCAAAATGGATAAAATACCTCAACAAGAGGCAGGAATCTATCAAAATCCTAGTGGAGAAGGCTGTAACCTCTTTGACATCGGCCACAGCAACTTCTTTCAAGATATGTCTCCAAAGACAAAGGAAACAAAAGCAAAAATGAACTTTTGGGACTTCATCTAGATCAAAAGCTTCTGCACAGCAAAGGAAACATTCAACAAAACAAAGAGGCAACCCATGGAACGGGAAAAGATATTCACAAATGACACTACAGACAAAAGGTTGATATCCAAGATATATAAAGAGTTCCTCAAACTCAATACCCCAAAACCAGATATTCATGTCAAAAATGGGCAGGAGACATGAACAGACACTTCTCCAAAGAAGACATACAAATGGCTAACAGACACATGAAAAAAAATGTTCATCATCATTAGCCATCAGGGATATTCAAATCAAAACCACATTGAGATACCACCTTACTCCAGTTAGAATGGCCAAAATTACAAGACAGTAAACAAGTGTTGGAGAGGATGCAGAGAAAGGGGAATCCTCTTACACTGTTGGTGGGAATGCAAGTTGGTGCAGCCACTTTGGAGAACAGTGTGGAGATTCCTTAAGAAATTAAAAATAGAGCTTCCCTATGACCCTGCAATTGCACTACTGGGTATTTACCCCAAAGATACAGATGTAGTGAAAAGCAGGGCCATCTGTTCCCAAATGTTCATAGCAGAAATGGTCACAGTCGTCAAACTGTGGAAAGAACCAAGATGCCCTTCAACAGACAAATAGATAAGAAAGATGTGGTCCATATATCTATGGAGTATTATCCCTCCATCAGAAAGGATGAATACCCAACTTTTTTATCAATGTGGACGGGACTGGAGGAGATTATGCTGAGTGATATAAGTCAAGTAGAGAGAGTCAATTATCATATGGTTTCACTTACTTGTGGAGCATAAGGAATAACACAGAGGGCATTGGGAGATGGAGAGGAGAAATGAGTTGGAGGAAATCGGAGGGGGAGACAAAGCATGAGAGACTGTGGTCTTTGAGAAACAAACTGAGGGTTTTGGAGGGGAGGGGGGTTAGGGGGTTGGGTGAGCCTGGTGGTGGGTATTATGGAGGGCACGTATTGCATGGAGCACTGGGTGTGATGCATAAACAATGAATTTTAGAATACTGCAAAGAAATAAAATAAAATAAAATGAAAAAAAATTCGGGTGTAGAATTGAGTGATCCATCACTTACATGCAACACCTGGTGCTCATCACAAGTGCCTCCTTAATACCCATTACCCCTTTAACCCATCCCCCACCCACACACCTCCCTTCCAGCAAACCTCAGTTTGTTCTCTATAGATAAGAGTCTGTTTTATGATTTGCCTGTCTCTTCTCCCACCCCATCTTCATCTGTTTTGTTTCTTAATTCCACATATGACTGAAATCATATGATATTTGTCTTTTCTCTGAGTGACTTATTTCACTTAGCATAATACTTTCTAGCTCCATCCACGTCATTGCAAATGGAAAGATTTCATCCTTTTTGTGGCTTTTTTGTGGTGAGATATATATATATATATATATATATATACCACTTCTTTATCCATTCCTCAGCTGATGGTCTCTTTCCATAATTTGTATATTATTGATAATGCTGCTATAAACATTGGGGTGCATGTATCCCTTTGTATCAGTATTTTTGTATCCTTTGGGTAAATACCTAGTAGTGCAGTTGCTGGATTGTTTCTTGCACATAAACAAAAATTTGTTAAAAATGGATGAAAGACCTAAATGTGAGACAGGAAGCCAACAAAATCCTAGAGGAGAACATAGGCAGCAATCTCTTTGATCTCAAGTGTAGCAACTTCTTACTAGATATATCTCCTTGGGCAAAGGAAACAAAAGCAAAAATGAACTATTGGGACTTCATCAAAAGAGAAATCTTCTGCACAAAGGTTGCACAAAGGCAACCTTTGGAATGGGAAAAGATATTTGGAAGTAACACTTCTTATAAAGGGTTAGTCTCCAAAATATATAAAGAACTTATACAACTCAACACACAGAAAATAAATAAACAAGGGGCACGTGGGTGGTTCAGTGAGTTGAGGATCCAACTCTTGATCTTACCTTAGGTCTTATTCTCAGGGTTGTGAGTCCAAGCCCCAGTTAAAAAATGGGCAGAAGTCATGAATAGACATTTTTCCAGAGACATGCAGAGAGCCAACACAAATAAAAAGATGCTCAAAAAAATCACTGATCATCAGGGTAATACAAATTAAAACCACAGTGAGATATCACCTCACACCTGTCAGAATGGCTAAATTTAACAACACAGGAAACAACGGATGTTGGTGAGGATGTTGAGAAAGGGGAACTCTCTTACACTGTTGGTGGGGATATAAACTGGAAAAGCAGCAAGATTTTTGATATGCAGGCTCTAGGCAATTGTCTTAGCTCACTCACACCAGCTTCAACAAAGAAATATGCTGCCAAATGTCTGCCACAATAAAATTATAAACTATTATATCTAATTTAGAGGAAATTTACAGAGTAAAAAAGCTCAAATTCTAAATACTTAATTTTACAAAGATGTTCTATTTTTCATAAAGAATTCAGTTCTATGTGATATTAAAATCTTCCTCCATTGAAATAAATATCCACTGAAGTTGACTTTCATCACACAGCACTCAGAAACTACCCTAGGCTTTGCCTTCTAGCAAAATTGTAAAGCCAGGGCTAATTTATGTAACTTCAGATCCCTTGTATTTTGCAGAGTTTGAAAAGAACAAGTTTAAAATTTTCCTTAAGAACTATTATGTATTTATTATTCTCCTCAAGGCACCTATAACCTCTTTGTTTCTCAGACTGTAAATAAAAGGATTTAACAGGGGAATTATTATTGCATAAAATACAGAATATATTTTATCTTGATTTTCAGCTAGTCGAGACCCAGGACACACATACATGAAGAAGAGAGTGCCATAGAACAAAGAGACAGAGAGCAGGTGGGCGCTGCACGTGGAGAAAGCTTTGCTCCTGCCCTTTTCAGACTTCTTTTGCAGAATTGTGAGGAGGACATAGGAGTAAGAGATGATAATTGTCATAAAAGTGATAGATTGTATAAAGACTGAAAATATAAAAATCAGGAGCATATTAACTTTAGGGTCAGTACAGGAAATCTTAAACAGTTGTAAAATTTCACAGTAGAAATAATGTATTACATTGGACTTGCAGAAAGTTAATCTAAATAATAAACTAACATGCATCATAGGATGAAGAAACCCAATAATATACGAAACACTTAATAATTGAATGCAGAAGATATTGGACATCACCACTGGGTAAAGCAAAGGTTTGCATATGGCTACATAGCGGTCATAGGCCATCACTACCAGAAGGAAACATTCTGTGTTGGCACTGGAAGCAAAAATATAAAACTGGGTGATGCATTCAACCAGGGATATCATATGATTGTTAGATAAAAAATTCATTAGCATCCTGGGAGTCACAGAGGATGAGGAACAAGCATCTGCAAAAGCCAAACTGCCAAGGAGTAAGTACATAGGGGTGTGAAGTTGGGGGTCCTTCCAAATGAGAAAAATTAGTCCAAGGTTGCCCAACATGGTAGTGAAGTAGATGACCAAGAACATTAGGAACAGGGGGACTTGAAGCCCTGGAAGATTTGTAAGTCCTGTGAGAACAAACTCAGTCACCTGTGTTTTGTTTCCATCAGATTCACTGAAGCTGATCACTGAAATGAAAGAATAAGTAAAGAACACAGTCATAAAATACCATGAAAATAGTCACATTTTATTTGAAAATAAATTTATCTTCCCTGTTCATGTATCCCTTTTAATCAGAACATATACTTTTACATTTGAGTATTCTTTACAAACAATATGTATTTGGACAACTGTCCCTAAAAATTAGGAGGAATATATAATGGTATATATGTGGAATTCATTACTGTATAAGAGAAGTGGGTTTATTTTTTTTTTATTTGGAAAAAAAATGATTGTAATTTAATAATCATCCTCTAATTTTAAAATCTTTAAAAATAGAAATAGAATTTTTAAAAATATGCTAGGTGCATCTGGGTGGCTCAGTTGGTTAAATGTCCAACTCCTGATTTCAGCTCAGGTCATGATTTCAAGGTTGTGAGGTTGAGCTCCCCATGGGACTCTGCACTGGGCATGGAACCTGCTTAGGATTCTCTCTCCCTTCTCTCCCTCAGCACCTCCCCCCAACTCACGGGTGCACCTGAGCTCTCTCTTTCTGTAAAAAGAAATAAACTGAGAACTAAATATGCTAGAGATTAGTTATCAAAACCAATCTCATACATTCTAAATAAAGTAGCATCTCCCTCAAATTAAGAACAGATTGAAATGCTTACTTTGACCATTACTGTATGGTATTTTTTTAAAAACTGCAATACATCTAAAATATGAAAGTAATATAATAAAGATATAATGAAATGTCATAATAATTGTAGGAAATAAATTCATTATTTTTCTAACTTGTATTATCATACTTAAAGAACATTATGACTTTAATAAGCACCAGATGAAGGATGAATACATATAGAATCACTAGATGTTTTTCTTTGCAAGCAAGGAAGAGAAATAAAAGGGAAATATATCAGTTATAATAACTGTACACTTTAAAATACATTGAAATATTTTTAAAATATGTGAGACCTATGTGAATTAAATAGTAAAAACTTACCAAAGAATATTATACAATTTCTAAAGAAATAGCCAAAATATGTTCTCAGATATGAATACTTAGTATTATAAATATGTCAGTAGAATTCAATTTATTTTTAGTTAGAACCCTAATTGCTTTTTAATGTGATAGCATAAGCATAAAATTCTTATAAAATAAAGGTATTTTGAGACAAGGAAAATATGAACTGTATGAAAGTCAAGTATGCAGTAGTGTTAAAACATAAAGCCATTTAATAGAATGTCATGTGACATGGAAATAGGAAAATATAGTAGTAAAACCAAATAAAGACTCCAAAGATTGATTCAAATGTATTTGTTGGAATTTAATACAGTACATGGATGATTTTTCAATTGAGAATGATGATTTTTTCAATAAATATTATGACTATATTTGCCTGTCTTGAAAAAAAGTAAGAATGTCTTCCTTTTCTATGCTTGTTTTAAATTGCAACTGGATTGTGGTACCTGGGTGTCTCACTTAGTTAAGTGTCCAACTCTTGATTTCAGTTCAGGTCATGATCTCAGGGTCCTGAGATCGAGCCTTACATCAGGCTCCATTCTCAGCATGGAGTCAGTTTGAGATTCTCTCTCCACCTGTACCCCTTCCGCTGCTCTCTTTCTCTGTCCAAAAATAAATAAAATCTTGGGCACCTGGGTGGCTCAGTGGGTTAAGCCTCTGCCTGTGGCTCAGGTCATGATCTCAGGGTTCTGAGATTGGGGCCCAAGTCTGCTCAGCAGGGAGCCTGCTTCCCCTCTCTGTTGCTGTCTGCCTACTTGTGACCTCTCTCTCTGTCAAATAAATAAATAAAATCTTTTAAAATAAATAAATAAATAAAATCTTTTTAAAAATAAAAAAATAAAATCTAAAATTGCTATTGGATCAAGGACTTCAAAGTAAAAAAATTAAAAAAAATTTAAACTTTCTAAGAAAATTCATAAAATAAATATAATTAAATATATTACAAAATCTTTGATAGGGGTGCTTGGGTGGCTTAGTTGGCTAAGCATCTGCCTTCCACTCAGGTCATGATCCCAGGGTCCTGGGATTGAGTCCCACATAGGATTGCTTGCTCAGTGGGGAGCCTACTTCTACCTCTCCCTCTGCCTGCCGTTCCCCCTGCTTGTGCTCTTCTCTCTTTCTCTCTCTCTTTTAGTCAAATAAATAAATAAAATGAAAAAAAAGACTAATATAAGAAAGCCATAATAAAGAAAGATAAAATATGGATATATTTAATCTAATGGTTAAATTTATGAAAATAGAGTATGTATCAAATTTTTCACAAGGTAAAAGATGAATAAGACTTTGGAAGAATATGTGTAATTAATATAGGAGGTAAAATATTAGTATTTATCAAATGCAAAGTAAGAAATGTCAAGTAAGTCAATGAAAAAATAAAAGCAGAATTGAAAGGGCAGGTCACTGAAGAATATGCCAAAACATTCAATAAATGTGGGAAAAGATGTTCACACTTCCCAATACTCAAGATGTGCAAATAAAATAAGACATTATTTTTCATCCCTCAGATTAGCAAAATCTACTGGTTGTCAGAATATGAAAAGGCCATTCTCACACTTACTGGTAAAAATGTAAATTACTAACACTTTGAAAAACAATTTGGCAATATTTTTTAAAAAATAAAAATGCACATACTTTTCAACTCAGTGATCCATGACTTCAATCCATTCTATAGCAGTAACATATTTCATAGGGAGAGAAGTCTACTGCAGCATTGTTCATAGTGGCAAAAGACTGGAAATAATATGTAAACCAACAGGATGAAGCAATGGTTGAACAAATCCTGGTATAATCATACCAATCAATATTATGGCAGTCATTTATAATGTTATTGCTCTACCACTTTTCTCAAAGTAATTTCCATAATTATTAGGAATGTGAGAAAAATAAGATGCAAATAATTTTTAAAATATTATCCCTTTAAACAAACAGGCAACACTCTGTATACCTATGAACACATCCACACATTTGCAAATGTATATTTGCAAATAACCATATGAACAGAAAGACTGTGTGAAATGATAGACCCTAGCTTGTTAATATTTATTTTCTGCTATAGGTGATAGGAGAGTAATAAAACAAAGGAAGAAGAATTAAAGAATTAAAATTAAAAGAAGAATTAAACAGAAGAGATCACAAGATATTTAGAAGGGAATGCACTTTGGTCTTAGATTCTTAGATCATCTACAAGAAAAAAATCTGCCTGTAACTTGATGTGTAAATTCATTGTTTCCCAGAGTAAAATGAATAACCCAATTTTATATATTTATTTCCTGCTGATTAAAACACAAAAATTTTACCCATTTACCAAAATTGTATTGTTTGCCTTTAAAATAGGTGCATAGGCAAGGTTTTTCTTAATGGTTCAACATTAGGGAGAAGAGTGGGTTATTTTCCATCTTCTCTGAGAATAGAACAAGAAAAATTTATTTTTAAAAATTTATCTTTGGGACGCTGGGTTATTCAGTCATTAAGCGTCTGCCTTTGGCTCAGGTCATGATCCCAGGGTCCTGGGATAGAGTTCCACATTGGACTTCCTGCTCCATGGGAACCCTGCTTCTCCCTCTCCCACTCCCCCTGCTTGTGTTCCCTCTTTTGCTGTGTCTCTCTCTGTCAAAAAAATAAATAAAATCTTTTTTTAAAAATTATCTTTTAAAGTATATACCCCTGAGAAGCTGTGGAAGCATAATACATGCAGCACAGAGACTGACTGAAATGTCTCCTCTAAAAACTGGCCTTAATGGACACTGATGGCAAGTCATTTAATTTCCAAGGGGGATGTTTTGCTCTGAATGGGCCTACTCTGATTCCTTGACAACTTTAAACCCATACTTGATACACCCTATTTTCCTAATTAGTCAAGGGCTAATAAGGACTTGGATTTTTTTCTATATCTATCTATCTACCTATCTATTTACCTATCTCTATATTATATATATTTATATGTGTGTATAAGTATATATATTTTTGTAGATAGATGGTAGATAGATGTAGATATACACTGTGTGTGTGTGTGTGTGTGTGTCCCTATGAACACACACACACATAGATATATACACACATATACCCATTTGGAATTAAGAGGCTGAAGAACATTATCAGTGGTGACTTTAGTTATTTTTTCACAATTCCATTAACAAATTAAGGAAGTTTAAGCAATATAACTTAATTGTCCTTAGCCTGACAAAGAAATTTGTCCATAATATGAAATAATCTTTGAAGCTTTTCAGTTATTATCATTATTTTTTCATTTGTCTCATTTTTCTCTTATCTTGTTACTATTAAAAAGAAATATTATATGTGTCTCTTCAACAATCAAACATTTAGTACTCATGACAAGCATCCAGAATTGTCATCCCAAAGAGAAACAGAAAATCTCATAGGGTTGCCAGGATTTTCATTTCTGACCTGGATATTTCACTATCAAATAAGCAAATTGAAAAACTACAAATAATGGAAATTAGATCCTAGTGCCCTCGCTCAGTTTCTTTAAGTCTTTTGGAGAGTGAGAAATGATGGGTATCTTTAATGAAAGATGGTGGGTTTCCAAAGGGAAAAAAAAATGTAAATTTCCCTCTACCATACTTTACATTTTTGGGGCCAGTCATCTTTATGAATTACTAAACTGATGAAAGCTGCTGGCTGTTTTCATGTCCACAGCTGTACCTCATATTGGAAACTTCAAATGAAGAAAAGTGGAAGGTGCAGAATGAAGCAGTGATTACTTGGCAAAGATTTTCCTTGGAAACCTCAACATGGGGACATGTTTATTTGTACTCTTTTTCAAATCTATTCATGAAAAAAAAACAAAAAACAAAATAACTTTGGAATTCCCTCAGTGAAAGCTACCAATGGATTCCCTGTAGGACTGAGGTGAAGCTGTTCTACTGGGCATTGTGAGCTAATCAGGGAATAACCCAGACACACCAGGTGTGACAATTAGAAGCACACTTTGTGTCAATAGAGTGCCCTGCAAGGGCGACTTGACAAACTGCCCCTGAGCAGTTTTTAGGTCATATGAATTTCCTTTCTCTTATTTCTCTTGATGTTGTCACATTCCAACCACCTGGTAGTTTCTTTCAGTGTCTCTAAGACTCATGAAACTCAGAATATACAGATCCAAATTCAGTCTTTTCCAACACTATCACTATCATCCTGCCTTCCCATTTTCAGTTAATGGCATCATCATTATCCCATTTTTAAAGAAAGAAACCTGGTATTCATCCCTTGACACTGAACTCCCCTTGAAACCCTGTCAAAACCATTATCAAACCCATGGCTTTTATCTCCTTAATATCTGTTGTAACCATCCACTTCTCTCAAAAGTCTATCATCTTTCTAGAGTACTGACATAACACTTTAATAATCTATGTGCACTTTCCAGTATTTTCTCTTACCATTGTCTGCATTTGGGCCAATGTCACCTTTATAAAACACCAAACCACTGAGATCAGCACCATTCTCACACCCATGGATGCAACTGCATTTAAAACTTTAAATATAACTTATGATCACTCTTAGAATAAAGATCAAAATCTTTAAGCCTGTATATCCCTTCCCTCATCCAAAAATTATCCTATTATCCTCTATACAAAAGTTCAGTCCGATATAGCTAATATATTCATTTAGGTGAATGACTCTGATATTTCAGAATTGATCTAAAGAGCTGAAATTAAAAATCAAAATTACAGTAAATTAAAAAGTTAAAATATCAATGGCTATCAGACACATGAAAAAATGTTCATCATCACTAGCCATCAGGGAGAATCAAATTAAAACCACATTGAGATACCACCTTACTCCAGTTAGAATGGCCAAAATTAGCAAGACAGGAAACAACGTGTGTTGAAGAGGATGTGGAGAAAGGGGAACCCTCTTCCACTGTTGGTGGGAATGCAAGTTGGTGCAGCCACTTTGGAGAACAGTGTGGAGATTCCTTAAGAAATTAAAAACAGAGCTTCCCTATAACCCTGCAATTGCACTACTGGGTATTTACCCCAAAGATACAGATGTAGTGAAAAGAAGGGCCACCTGTACCCCACTGTTCATAGCAGCAATGGCCACGGTTGCCAAACTGTGGAAAGAACCAAGATGCCCTTCAACGGACGAATGGATAAGGAAGATGTGGTCCATATACACTATACAGTATTATGCCTCTATCAGAAAGGATGAATACCCAACTTTTGTAGCAACATGGACAGGACTGGAAGAGATTATGCTGAGTGAAATAAGTCAAGCAGAGAGAGTCAATTATCATATGGTTTCACTTATTTGTGGAGCATAACAATTAACATGGAGGACATGTGGAGATGAAGAGGAGAAGGGAGTTGAGGGAAATTGGAAGGGGAGGTGAACCATGAGAGACTATGGACTCTGAAAAACAATCTGAGGGTTTTGGAGGGGTGGGGGTGGGAGGTTGGGGGAGCCTGGTGGTGGGTATTAAGGAGGGCACATATTGCATGGAGCACTGGGTATCATGCAAAAACAATGAATACTGTTATGCTGAAAAGAAATAATTTTTTAAAAAGTTAAAATATCGTGACTTCTGTATGCAGTGTTGATGAGGAAAATATTCAGAGCTTGTCTGTTTTTCCAATCTTAGTGTAAGTGTAATTTTATTTTACAGATTTTCTGTATTGTAAAATAGAGAAAAAATATTGTGGCATCTGGGTGGCTCAGTCAGTTAAGCATTCGACTATTGATTTTGGTTCAGGTCATAATCTCAGGGCCCAGAGATTGAACCAGGCTTTGGATTTGCATGGAGCATGGAGCCTGCTTCAGATTCTCTCTCTCATCTCCCCCCCACCTCTCCAGTTCTCTCTCTTTCTCCCTCTCTAAAAAAAAAAAAAAAGAAGAAGAAGAAGAAGAAGTAAGTCCTCCTTAAATAGTGGCTGAATTTCCAGCATCTCTCCATCCCATTAGAACTCTACCTGACATGCTGCATCTGTGAGAGGAGTACACACACCCTTTTGTGATAAGGCTGACAGGGCTCAAGAACCCAGTAGAAGTCTGACAGTGCCCACTGGCTGGCACTACATTTTCTGCAGTAATGTGAGCAGGTCATAAGATCTTCAAACAGGTCATAAGATAATGAAAAACAATAGTTATAAACTTGTCCTTCCACTGTCTTGGACATAGTAAAGCATACCAAAAAAAAATCTGATCTAGGTATGAGATAGTAAAATCCTGAGTTTCTGGCAGATAATAAGATTTATGGCTCAGCTGTCTTGAGCTGCAAAGGCTTCCTGTGAGAAATACCTGTTATGTAGTAACCATGAGATTCACCCAGTGAAAAGGGAAATTATGCTGTCTATGGGTAGTTTTTTGGATTATGCAAATTTAACACCAAGGGCTTTATAGTTCCTTGTTAGAGCAGTAACTCTTAAACATTGTATTATATTTTACTCTTGGCCACAGAGGCTCTCTTACCAGTTCAGCCAACAGCTTCATTCCCCCACCCTCCTTCAGAATAACCTAATTCTCTCTTACTCAACCAGTGTCAGGGCCTTCATTCCAACTTCAGACTTTTGGTGTGGTTGACTTGTATCACCATTTTATACAACACAAATCCTGGGCCTGTTGACTGCACCAGACTCCTGAATTCAGTTAATTAATGATGTCTCTTCTTCCCAGGTGGTAGTTTGTTGAATATACATAGAGGAAGCCTGGTGTGTTGAAATTAGAATTGAAGTTATAAGGAACTGCCTCTGTTATTTCTGTGTCCTATAGCACTAACACTCCTCATTTGCAAAAAATGAAGATGTTTGACTAGAGGATCCTAACTCTTTTACAAGGCTACTCTTCATTGTACCTGGAATTCTAAGGATTTTTTGCTTTTGGGGATCTAGGACCATTTAGGAATTAGGAAAGTAGAGATGGGAAAAAAATATTCATTCTTTCTTGATTTGGCTGTTAATTAAGCTCCCCCATCCCTTTTTTAGTGTATCACTGAGAATGGGAAGGTAGAAATTTATGGGATAGATTTCCCTATGTAAGAAGCAACCTTATTCCTAACTATTAGAAGAAATAAATTATCCTTCTGAATAAGTATGTTCCATACACTGAGTTTTTAATCTTTTCTTCAGACCTTGGATCAAGGTCTTGAAGTTTTATTCCTCTCCCTGTAGCCTAGAATACTAATTAATTAATATTTAACATATTGACATAAATTTACCCCACAATATTTCCATTGGACTGCTATAATTTTGTCTCAGTACAATGAAATGTCCTGGTGAAATCAGAAAATCAGTCCGCTATTGATAGGGCAGTTTTTCTTAATGATGACATTCATAAAAACAAGGTTCCATTAAGTTAGGTGATGGGGTGTGGTGGTAGATTTACATTTATCACCTAATTTTCCTTTTTCTCAGATTTCTTAGGATGGCTAAGGCATCATATTTCTTCATTGATAATGTTGTCTAACAGTCCATAGGCATGCCCATATATAAGATCATGCATTCAAATAGAGTTCAGCTCTTACCAAGTTACTCTAGTCAAAAATCTTCTGAGTCCTTATTGCAATTTGAATAAAGCCCCAAATCCTCAGCCATTCAAAACTTCTCCAAACTTTTTTTCCAACCTACCTTTTCAAGTCCATCTCCAAAATTTACATGCACCAAAGCTACAAAAGATATTCAGATATCTTAGGGTAATGAACAATCTCTAGTAGATAATTTTTTTTATTGTACTTGTTTGTTTGAGACATGGGGGAGGGGCAGAGGGAAAGGGAGAAGCTAAACAGGGAGTCTGACACAGGGCTCCATCCCAAGACCCTGAGCATGACCTGAGCCTACTGCAGACTCAACCAACTGAGCCACCCAGGCACACCATCTAGTAGGTAATTTGTGATGAATTCTAACATTCAATAACTTATTGCATACATGTCAAATGTCCATTATCATTTCTCTTATCAGTTTTATTACAAATAGGTAATATTTCCTCTGCTATATGATCACTGATTTACATCATAAGATGACCACTCATTTGGTCCATACAGAAATTTTAGTACTTTTGAGTAGCTAGCCTTATTAATATCATAGTCTCAGATTATTTTTAACTAAACATGGCATTCATAGTGACGATATAAGCCATAGTCACAAGGCCTGATCCCATGCATCATTAGGCATGGAATGGATATATAGAAATAGAAAAAACAGAAACAATAAAAAAATGATGAGAGGACTATAGATTGAAAGGTCATAAATTATGTGACTTCTCGAATCCACTGTTGCCAAGGTGGTACCCACACATAATACCAGCTGAATACCTAGTCCCACAGACCTACTTTAGGTCCAGTGGAAGCAGTGGTATAGGAGGCACATAGAGTTTAATAGACTACTCTCCAGTATAAACACTAGTTTATAAACAGGATTTTCTGTAAAAATGTATATTAAGCAATATAGAAAAACTGGGTATTGCTATCTAAGAATCATACATAGGAAAGAAATATAGCAGAAACAGAAAAGCATCATTCATTTATTTAGACAAATATTATTGCTTTTTTTTTCATGAAAATACAAGAATATAAATAAGGAAGTCAACAAGCATACAATAGATACCATGCTCTAAGGAAAAAAGCATAAAGACATAGGGAAATATAAGAAAGTTTTTAATTTAATCAGTCTCTCTAAAATGAGACATCATTATTAGAAGACCAATTAGAAGCACTGAAAATTTTCAAGTGGTTTGTAATTACTATAAAATAATTTTGGGAGGGCCTAGGTGGCTCAGTCTATTAAGCCTCTGACTCTTGATCTCAGCTCAGGTCTTGATCTCAGGGTCCTGAGTTCAAGCCCCACATTAGGCTCCACACTGGGCTTGGAGCCTACTTTTAAAAAAATAATTTTGTACAAATAGTAATTCTAATAATGATTTTTTCATTGATATTATGTGTCAGAATAAAAGTGGCAATTAATATTTATCAGAAATTTTTAACTATTTGTGAAACTTATTGCTAAGTATTTGTCTATGTGCTTAGACAAATATTTTAATGTTAGCAGGGAGGATACTTATTTAAAAGTACTTTTTTAAGTGGCTGTAATTACCTTAAAATGCTATCAAAACTTTTGTTTTTAAAACTCATGAACTTGATATTATTTAATCACAAATAATTTTTTGTACATAAAAGTCTTACAAAGCAAGAATAATGCAACTGGAAATGGTTTGGTTTTATGAAAGGCTTTTAAAAGACTACATCTGCTTCAGTTTCCAAAAGTGCTATCATTGGAGGTAGAGTTCTCATGCATTTACTCATTCAATTATTATCTACTGAGATAATGATATAATAGTAAATGCAACTGAAATATTGCTTATAATAGTAAATGTAACTGAAATAATCAAAATCATATATTCTGACAAACTATCTGGGTATTTAGAAGACTTAATTGCTTAATGTCATCAACCATATTTTTATGACATAATCATATAAAGTTTACACATTTTCCATTTTTTCAATAAAAAATGTATTGAATATTATCAATATGCAAGATGTCCTATTAGGTGTTGTGCTTATTTAAATAAAAATTGAAAAAATAGTAGGAACATTTTATTTGAGAAACAAATATTCCTCTCTCATTTTATCAGTCCACCTTAAATTTGTTTCTTCTGCTGTATAAAAAGAAATTTAGCAGAAAATTGCAATAATGTACAGCAAAGAATACATTTTGCCCTACTCTTCATCTGGGCTAGATTCAGGACTCATGAATCTGAAAAAGAGCATTATAGTAGAACAAGAGAACAGTGAACATACAGGCACCACTGTGAGGAAGGCATAGCTTCAGCCTTTTTCATAATTCTTCTTCAGTATGGCAAAGAAGACATGGATGCAAGAGACTTAATTGTTCAGAGGAATGAAGTTTGAATAGAGACAGGAAACAAAAAGAATCGGTGCATTAATAGATTCATCTTTTTGGAAATTTTATATGACAACAAGATTTCAAAGTAGAACTGATGTCTTATGTTGGATCCATAGACAGTTCACATAAGTGGAAATTCGATATGAACAATGAGAGGCAGAAAGTAAAAAAACAAAAACAAAAACAAAAACAAAAACGTGAAATACTCAGCAAGTCATTCAGTTTGGAAGAAAGCACAATATAAAATACAAATGCATACAATATCAATAATGAAGCTAAAGTGCAATCAACAAATTCAACTCTAAATATAAAAACTAGAAGAAAAAATATTATAAGAGGATCAATAGAAAAAATTTTAAAATATGAGAAATTAATGAATTAGACAAGAGCAAAGTTAGATGTGATTTTTAAAATCATAACCTCGTTCTTGTAAAACACCTACAAAATAGAAAAATTACTAGTTAACTTTAATTTTTCTAAGTGGGAGAAAAAAATAAAAGGATAAAAGGGAAATAACCTTTCAAACCCAATAAATGTAAAAACCACTATGTGGGTCTTCGTCTAATTCAAGGCAAATATATATCAAAATCTAGATGAAGTGAATAGTTTTATTAAGAAATAAAATCTAGAATTTTCTTCTTAATGGCAAACAATAGGAAGTCCACAACAACTAAAACAAACTAAAATTAAAATACTCTGGACTTAAGCAAGTTTGTAGATCTAATTCCATCTATCAGTTCACAAAGTTACCTTTATCACAAAGATACTATCAGCCAGATCCAAAATATGAAAAATTCTACAGGACAACTAAACCAGTTTCTTCAACAAATGACATTAAAAATGGAGGAAAACTGTTGTAGATTAAAAGAAATTTAAAAACCACCAAAACCGGATTCTCTGGGGAATTCTACCAAACTTTCAAAGAAGAAATAACACCTATTCTCCTGAAGCTGTTTCAA